GCAGTGTCTACCTGGTTAATTGGGGTTGGAGCCAAGGTGTCCTCAGCTGTGGCCTTATTTTGGCCTTTGAGGTATCTCTGGCCTCACAGGCCACTACAGACCTCAGCCAGGACTAGTGATTCATAGAGGTTCACTTACTATGAATCAGCTCCTGTTACCAAGCAAGGGGCCTGGGCCTAGGACAGACTCACAGACAAACATTGAAAGCCAATTAGTGAAATTTAAATCCTGCTCAGAGCCACCTCATAGTAGTCTCTATAATTCCCCAAGTGTCAGAAGTGATTAAAGAGCAAAATTAGGCCAGGCATAGTAACATATGCATGTAGCCCCAGTACTCAGGAAGGCTGAGGCAAGAGGACTGTCACATCAGAACTCATACAAAGCAATTTAGAAACTTAGTGAGACCTTGTCACAAAATAAAAAAATAAAAGAACAGGGAATATAGCTCAGTGTGAGGCCTTGGATTGAATTCCTAGTGCCCCCTCTCCACTAAAAGAAGCCTAATTAAATGACCCAATGGGAGGGGATAAACTGGCCCAGCTCCACAGTACAGGTCGAGGGCACTGCACACCAGGTCAGACTGTTGGTGTCTCTAAGGGGGCACTGCAGAGCAGTCTCTACCCCAGGGCTGCACTATGGAGACTCAGAGAGAACAGCGGTTGAATGACAGCAGGAGACAACAATTCATTCTTCACTTAGCCAGCAGCTTTGAGCCTTGGTGTTTTGCTTACAAGGAGTTCAAAGATAATCTCCATCAGGTTAAGGTTTCTGATTCAACATTTTCCTGAAGTGGCTCTGCAGCTTTGCCTCTGTGACTCCCTTGGAAGTGATAAAGATAAGTAGCAGAGAGACTTCTGTTGTGGCCAACCAAGTAAGCCACTTTGAACTTAGAGATGCTGGGCATGGTGGTTCATTCCTATAGTACTAGCACTTAGGAGGTGGAGGCAGGAGGATGCCTGTGGGTTTGAGGCCAGCCTGGGCTACATGGGGAGTTCCAGATCATCCTGAACTACATAACAAAACCCTGCATCAAATAAATAAATAAATAAATAAATAAATAAATAAGGAACCAGAGGTTCAGTGCCTCTAGCTTTGCCCTTCCTCAAGAATAATTTATTCATTTCTGGTCTTTTATGGCTCTGCGTAAATTTAGGGGTTTCTTTCCATATGGAAAAACCATTGGGGTTTTCTTTATTTCTTTCCTTTCCTTTCTTTTCCTCTTCCCTTTTTCTCTCTCTTCAATGGTGGGGACTGCCCCTAGGCTCTTGCTCATGTAAGGCAAGTGCTATACCCTGAGTGTCTCTGGTCTGACTTGTCCTGTCTTACACAGGGTTCTGCTAACATGGCTGGGATGGCCTCAGGCTGAGCTGGGATCCTAGACTCACTACTGCACTCAGTCTAGTCACTGGGATTTCAACAGGGTTCATGCTGAATGTGCAGATTGCTTTGGTAGAATATGCAACAGACCAAATGTTTGTGTTTTCCTTAAATGTAGATGTTGAAAGCCAGTATCCAGTATGTTGCTATTTTGATGTGAGACAGTTAAGGAATGATGTCCCTCTCCATCCTTCTAGGAGGTGAGGTCACAGCACAAAAACGGTCCCTGTGAGCCAGGAAGCAGTCCCTCCTTAGATCCCAAGCCTGCTGTTCGTGGTGACCTGGATTTCTGGCCCCCAGGATGTCTGTTGTACATCATCCACTCACTCCATCTGCAGTGGTCTCTGTTGGCATTGCTAGTTGACCAAGTGCTATACATGTATGGTATGGTTCCTGGACTTTCTAGTCTGTTTCACTTATCCATTCTTCTGCTTTACTCTCATCATGACTGTAGCTTAGTAACTGTTGTAACCCCCCCCCCAAAAAAACACAAGGCCCCATGATGAAAAATGGGGCAAGATGACATCTTTTTTTTTAAAGAAGCACTTTTATTTTAGCTGGCCCAGCAACACAGTGCAGATGGAATTTGCAAAGCTGTGCAACTGAGCTAGAATTTTGACTGATTTTTATAGTTAATTTATGATTAGCTCATTGATCATTAAGTACATAGTGATGAGAAACAGAAACAAGGTGGGCTTTTGTTCCCCTTTGTTTGAGGTCAGAGGCATTTTACAGTGAGTGGTTAGCCAATTCATAGCCCTTGTTCTGCAAACTCCAGGAATATTTGTCTCTCATAAAGGGAACAATGGTTGACACAGGATCATTTGTCTCTTACAAAGGGAACAAAGGTTGACACAGCAAACAGGTTACTGGGGTAGTGGGGGGGAATGGATGCATACAGAACAGCATGAAGAGGTGGTCAGTTAATCTATAACTGTGATTGGTGCTTGGTTACTAGAGAACTGAGCTCAGCAGAGAATGACAATACTGTTAATAACTATCCTTTTAAGTAACTATTTTTGTTAATAACTATCTTTCAATTAACTATTTAAGTTTTCTGCATCTTAGTATGAAAGCATATTTTGAAACATATTAAAGACATGCATCAAATGCCCTCAGCTAAGGTACTCAACAGGACAAAGCTTATCATGTGTAGCTTTCTATGGTAAGGCACTTCCTTCTGTGCTAGCTGTTGAACATTTTGTTGTGAAAGGGTGTTACATTTTGCCCAATGTCTTTTCATCTTCTATTGAAGATAATCATGTGATTTTTTTTGCATTCTTCATTCTATTAATCTGGTGCTTTGCAATCACTGATTTTGTAAGTTGAAATATGTTTGCATTCAGTCCATAAACTTCATCTGATTATGGTGCATGATCCTTCAATGTGCTATTGAATTTGGTTTATTAGCATTTCATTGACATCTTTTGCATATTTGTATTTATCAGGAATACTGGTCTGAGGTCTGCTTCTGATATCTTTTTAGCTTTGATGTCAAGGTAATGCTGACCATGTAAGATGAAATGCAGTGTTCCTCTTCAAATCCTTGTAACAACTTGAGAAGAACACAAATTCTTTAAATGCTGGAAAGGCCAGGTGTGGTAGTGCATGACTAATTACAGCACTCAGGAGGCTGAGACAGGAGGATCATTGCAAGTTTGAGACCAGCCTGTGCTACAAAGTGAGCTCAAGGCCAACCTGAACTGCATAGTAAGACCTGTCTCAAAAAGATCAAATAAATAAATGCTGAGAGAATTGTCCAAGGAAGCCATTTGGTTCAGGCTTTTTTTTGAGAGATTTTAGAGGACTGATTTAGTTTCTACATCACATACAGTTCTGTAGGCTTCCTGTTTTCTCATGATTCAATGTTGGAGGATGGGCTTTTTCTGAGAATTTATCCATTTCTTCTAGGCCTATGACTTGTTGGTATTCACCAGTTTAAAGTAACCTGATGATCATTTTGATTTCTGTACAGCAGTTGTAATGTTCATTACTGATTTTACCAGTTTGCCTTTTCTTCTTCTCTCTTATATTTAATCCTCTTATATTTAATCTAGCTAAAAGCTGTTCGATTTTGGTAATATTTTCAAAGAAAACCTCAACTGTGTCAAGTTTTTTTTCTTTTTCTTTTTCTTTTTTTGGCTTTTTCCTTTTTATTGGTACCGGGGATCAAACTCATGACTGCCTGCTTTCAAGGCAGGCGCTTATGCCGCTGAGCTAAATCCCCAGCCCCTGTTTTTTTTTTTTTTTTTTTTCCAGTTTTCTATTTCTTTTCCTTCTGTTCTAACCTTTAGTATTTCCTTCCCTCCACTAACTCTGTCCTTACTTTACACCTTTTTTCCCTCGTTCTCCTTTTCTTTCTCTTCCTTTTCTTCCTTTTTCTTTTTCCTTTGTTTTCCTTCCTCCTCCCCTCTTTCTTTTCTCTTTCCCTTGAGGTACAAAGTTAGGTTGTTTATTTGAGCTGTTTTTATTTGTTCATTTGTCTTTTATTTTTGATACAGGGTCTCATTCTGCAGTTCAGGCTGGCCTTGAGCTCACTAAGTAGCCCCGGTTGGCCTTCAACTTCCAGTGATCCTCCTGCCTTTTCCTCCTGATTACAGGCATGCACCACCATGACTGGCTTGAGGCTTTTGTTTTTTTCCTTTTTAATATAGAAGTTTATCACAAACTTTCCTCCTATTATTAATTCCGCTATATTCTATGTTTCTGTGAATTGTGGTTTTACTTTTGTTTGTCTCAGTTATTTTCTGATTTTCTTCTTAACTTTTCTAGGACCTAATGGCTGTTGTTCAAGAGTCTGTTCTTTAATTTCCACATATTTGTGACTCTTATGGCTTGTACTTAGATGTCTCAAAAGAGCCTCATGCAGTCATATGTGGGGATTTTCAGAAGTGGCTGTATCTATGTTGTGTGAAGCTGGGATTAAGGGTACCCCATCCTGGGTGTAAGTTTTTCCCACCCTAAGGTCAAGTAGCCTGGATCTGCTATGGCTTTCTGCTTACTGTTCTGCTTCCTCCTGCCCGCCATGGACTGTTTCTCCTCTATGACACTCCTCTACTGTGCCTCCCTGAATTGGAGCCAGCCAATTATGGACTGAAACAGATATGAACTTTGAACTGAAACAAACCTTACTTTCTTTCACTTTGGGGTGCTGGGTATTTTGTCTTAGCAACAAGAAAAATAACAAAGGTAGTGAATTTTCCAGTTTTCCTTCTTCGTTTGATTTCTAGTTTCATTCTAGTATGGCCCAGAGAAGAAATTTGGTATGATGTTAGTGTTTAAATGTAATACAACTTGTTTTGTGACCTAACATGAGATCCTCCCTGAAGAAGTTTCATATGCACTTGAGAAGAATTTGTATTCCACAACTGTTTTGTGGAATGTTTTGTATATTTCTATTAGGTATGTTTTGTCTAGAGTGTTCCTGAAGTCTTCCATTTTGTTACTTGTCTTCTGTTTGAATGTTCTATCCTTCATTTAAAGTAGAACTTAATTGGAAGTTGCCTACTGTAATTGTGTTCCTATTTGTCCCTGCCTTTAGGTGCTCTGAGGTTAGTGCATGTATGTTTATTGATTGCTAGATCAATCTTTTTATCATTATATAATATCCTTGTATTTTTCAGCTTTCCTGTTGCTGGACAAAATGCCCATGAATTACAAGTTAAAGGAGATGTTTGTGTGCCTCATGCTTTCAGAAGTTTCAGTCCACATTTGACTGGCACCAAGACCTGAGTTTCATGGTGGAGATGTGAAGCTGTTTGCTTTGTGGTATCCAGGAAGCAGAATGCAGGGGAAGAGCACCAGAGAGTGTACCTGCAGGGGCAGCCCCCAGTGCCCATCTACAAAGGCCCCTCCTGTCTAATACAGCATATCAACTGGCAACCACCAGGGATTAAGCCACTGATGAGTAGAGCACCCCATGATTCAGGTACCTCTCCAGGTGTCTTTCACTCCAATCCAGTTGATGACCAAGATTAACTGAACTAAGTATACCCTTGTGAACTTGACACCTCAATCACATCTCCTTAAATCATATTGAATCTCCAAATAAAGAGTTCACAATTATGCTTTACATGATATTCCTATTATGCATCAAACTGAGAGTGCAATAATCACTTCCCAAAAACTTAGTAATATGGTCATCTGTCTTACACACCTAAACACACTTGCAGTTGTATCCTTTAGATCACTTTCTTTTCCTCTCTTTTTTATAATAACATTTACACATTTTGTGTTTTATTACTCCCACAGTTCTTATTACTTATTTTTGGAAGAGAATAAAACCAAATGTGACAAAACAAAGCAGTCAGTCAAAACAAACGATGGACATAGTACATGATGTAAAAATAGAATACAAGGTAATCAACAATGGTTATCATAATGCCTCTTGCTACCTTAAAAGGAAATTGCCTTATATCATTGGGTATGATAAAATTGAACAAAACAGTATAGAACAAAACCAATAAAACCTAAACATTGGAGACATTACTGAAATTCAAAAGAAGATAATAGTCAAACCAGAATGGGCATCATAGTGAATCTTATTGCCTTCAAAGTAGTTGCTTATACCCTCAAAACTGATACTATCAAACAGAACAGAATAGAGTAAAATCAGTCAAAACAAGATGATGAGAGCAATACAGGGCTTCAAATTGAGTTAATAGGAAATCAAAAAAGTTACTATAATATATTTTGCTAATTTTTAAAAATATTTTCCCTTAATTAAAAAAACTAATAATAAAAAAATAAATTTTTAAAAAGGGGGAGATTGAGATAAAAGAGGACATAAACATAACAATACAGGTCAGGACAGAACAATTTAAGCAACATAGTGTTTCCCCATAAGATAACCCATAATAATAGTAGTAACCATAGTGTCTCTTTCCTTGAAATATTTGAGTATAACTTCGTATACTATAGCATCTAACATATCAAGACAGTTTGAAACCATTCAAGAGGATGAAAGTATTACAGGGTATTTAGAACCAGCAAAAAGAAAACAAAAATGGTTTCTATGTTATCTTTTTGCCTATAAAAATTTTGTTTATACTATCACATATAATAAAATCCAAAAAGATACAACATGATAAAAGCAATGGAGGCAGAAGAACAAGGGTTTGATGGGGACTTCAAAACAAGATGATATTAAATCAAAACTAGCTATTATGATGTCTTCTTTTCCTCAAAATAGCTGTTCATATCATCACAGACAATAATATCAAACAGCCCAGAATAAAACTATTCCAATTGATGAATGAAAACTTTATAAGGCTTCAAAGCCATTAATGGGGAATCATGATTACCACATACTTTTATGTATTTGTATCATTTCTTACACTAGGGAAACAATTCATTGTTCATACATGTGAGTTTGCTTCATTTCACTTATGAGTATGGTCTCAAGCTGTGTCCATTTATTTATAAATATCTCAATGTGATCCTTCTTTATAGCTGAGTAGTACTCAATTGTATAAAAATACTGCAACATTTTTATAAATTCCTCAGTTAATGGACACTTAGGTTGTTTCCAAAACATGGCTATTACAAATTGTGCTGCTATAAAGATGGGTGCACGTATATCACTGTGGTGTGATGTTTTCAGTTCTTCTGGGAATATGCCTAGAAGTGGAATAGCTGGAACAAATGGGACTTCCAATTCCAGCTTTTTGAGAAATCTCCAGACTGACCTCCACAAAAGTTGTACCAGTCTACACTCCCACCAACAGTGCAGGAGATTTCCTTTTTCCCCACATCCTCCAGCCTTTGCTATTTGTGGTTTTCTTGATTCTGGCCATTCTTTCATGAGTGAGATGGAATCTCAGTGTGGTTTTAATTTACATTTCTCTAATGACTAATGATGATGAATGTTTTTTCATGTATTTATTTGTCATTTGTATTTCTTAATCTGAGGAGTGTATATTTATCTTGGATGATCATTGTTGGATTGGATCTTTGAATTTTGGGGGTCTGATTTTTTAAATTCTCTATATGTTTTAGACAGAAGTCTTTTGTCTGAGAGAGAATTCACTAAGATTTTTTCCCAGTTTGTGGTTTTTTTTTTTTTTTTACTATGCTGGAGATTTCTTTTGACATGCAGAAACTTTTTAATAAGAAATGATCCCAGTTATTGATTCTGCACTTTGAGTCATATTCATGAATTCTCTACATACCCCATGTCTTCAAGATTTTTACCCAATTTGTCTTCCAATAGATTTAGTGTTTCTGTTTTAATATTCAGATCAAAGGATCCATTTAGATTTTAATTTAGTACATGGTGATAGGCATGGGTCTAGTTTTACTTTTCGGTATATGGAGAGCCAATTTTTCCAACACCATTTATTAAAGAGACTGTCATTCTTCCAGTGAACATGTTTAGTCCCTTTATCCAAGATAAGTGGGTCGAGTGTGTTAGTAGCTGTGTTTGTATCTTCTAATCTGTTCCTTTCATCTTTGGCTGTGTTTTTATTCCATTACCATGTTGATTTTATTACACTTGGTTTGTAGTATAACTTCAAGTCTGGGATTGTGATGCCTCCTGCCTTGCCTTTGCTGCTTAGAAATGTATTTGCTATTCTAGGTCTCTTCTCACTCCTGATGTATTTTAGGAGTGATTTCTCTAGATCTATGAGGTATGTTAATGGTATTTTTATAAGAATTGCATTGAATCTTTATTACAGTTTTGGCATAATGGCCATTTTTCACAATATTTATTCTTCCTATCCATGGGCAAGTGATGTCTTTCCATTTTCTGAGATCATCTTCTATTTCTTTTTTCATTGTATTATAATTTTCCTTACATAGGTTTTTTTCTTCTTTTCTGAGAAGATTCCTAAATATTTCATTTTTTTTGGATGCTAGTGTGAAGGGTGTAGATTCTCTTATTTCTCTCTCTGTGATATTTTTTTTACTGTATAAGCATGCCATTGATATTTGAGTATGGATTTTGTATCCAGCTAAATTGCTGAATTTATTTATTATATTTAGGAGACTTTCAATGGAGTTTTGGGGGTCTTCTTGGTGGACTATCATGTCATCTGCAAATAATGATAATTTAGCTTCCTCTTTTCTTATCTTTAAATCTTGTATTTCTCTCTCTTGTCTAATTGATCTGGCTAGTATTTCCAGTACTATGCCGAATAGTAACAGTGATAAGGGACATCCTTCTAATGTGCCTGATTTTAAGGTAAAGGCCATTTAATATGAAGCTGGCTGTTGGTTTGTCATACATTGCCTTTATCATATTGAGGTAAGGACTACCTATTCCAATTTTCTGTAAGATTCTTATCATGAATGAATGTTGAACCTTATCAAAAGCTTTTTCTACATGTGAAGAAATGATTGTGATTCTCACTTTTGGCTTTATTGATATGATGGATTACATTTATTGAGATAATGTATGTTTAACTATCCCTGCATGCCTGGGATGAATCTCACTTGGTCATGGTGTATAATCTTCTTGATGATTTGCTGTATCCTATTTGCCAATATTTTATTGAGGATTTTTGCATCTGTGTTCATTAGGGAAATTGGCCTGTAGTTCTCTTTTCTAGTTGGGTCTTTGTCAGGTTTTGGTACTAGAGTAATATTTACTTCCAGGAATGACTTAGGAAGGATTGCTTCCATTTCAAGTTCATTGAAGAGTTTGAGGAATATCAGCACAAAGGCTTCTTTGTATTTGTTATAGAATTCCACAGTGAATACATTTGGGCCTGGACTCTTCTTTGTAGGTAAGGACTTAATTACATTTTCAATTTCATAATAGAAATTGGGTATTCAGCAGTTTTACATCTTCTTGCCCTAGCTTTGGCACTTCATATGTTTGTAGGAATCTATTTCTTCTGTGTTATCAATCTTATGAGAGTAGAAGTTTTCAAAATAGGTGTTGATGACTCTGTGTCTTTCTTCATAGTTTGTAGTGATTTTGCCTTTTTCATTCCTTATTGGAAGAATTTGAGCTTTTTCTTCCCTTTTTAAAATAAGGTTGGTAGGAGCTTATCAATTTTATTTATTCTTTCAAGGAGCCAACTGTTTGATTCATTGATTCTTTGGACTGTTTTTAGTCTCTATTGCATTAATTTCTGTTCTGATTTTTATAATTTCTGCCCATCTTTTGGCTTTTGGCTTGACTTGCTATTCTTTTTCTAGATGTTTGAGGTGTAGCATCAGGTCATTTATTTGTATTCATTCTGTTTTCCTGATGTGGGAACTCAGAGCAATAAATTTTCCTCTGAGGACAGCTTTCATTGCATCCCACAGATTCCGCTGTTATATCTGTATTTTCTTTTGCTTGTAGGTATTGTTTAATTTCTTGTTTAATTTTGCCTGTGACCCACTGATTGATCATGAGCATATTATTCAATTTCCATGTCTTTGTGTGGTTTTTGAAGTTCTCTTATCATTAATTTCTGGTTTTATGGCACTATAATATAATAACATGCATGGGATAATTTCAAATCTTTTGCATTTATTTAAATATGTTCCGTGGGCTAGTATATGGTCTATTTTAGGGAATGTCCCATGTACTGCTGACAAGAATGTGTATTCTGATGTTGTTGGATGGAACACTGTATATGTCTATCAAGTCCATTTGTTCACAGGTGTGATTCAGTTTTGTTATTTCTTTGCAGATTTCCTACCTGGTTGATCTGTCCCTTTGTGTCAGTGGTGTGTTAAGGTCTCCTGTTATAATTGTTTTATTGCTTATTTAATCACTTCTATTAATACGTGCTTTGTAAACTGTGTGCTGTGGAATTTGGTGTATACATGTTTAAGATTGTTATCTCTTCCTCTTGAAGTTTTCCCCTAACTAGTGTGTAGTGACCTTTTTTATCTCTTAGGATCATTCTTGGTTTGAAGTTCACATTGTCTGCAAACAGATTAGTTACCTCTGCTTTTTTGGGGGGAGGTGGGAGTTACTGTTGCATGGAGTATTATTTTCCATCCTTTGACTTGCAGTCTGTGATTTTCCTTTTGTGTTAAATGGGTTTCTTGTAGACAGCATAAAGTTAAATGTTGTTTCTTGATCCATTCTGCCAGTCTGTTTCTTTTAATTGGTAAATTGAGACCATTCACATTAATGGTTATAACTTATATATTGGTTTATTGTTGACATGTTATCTTGCTGCTGTTGTATCTTTATCTTTCCTTTCTGTTTAATTTTCTCCTTTGCTTAGTGGATTTTTCCTAAGTGTATCTAAACTATCTTTCAGTATTCTTTGCAGAGTTGGCTTGGTGATC